TTTTTTTTTTTTTTCCATTCATTACCACACCAATTCCTAAAAAAGCTCTGGGGCCTTAGGTTTAGATCTTTGATCCACTTTGAGTTGATTTTTTTTGTTAATAGTGACAGATAGGGATTCAGATGCATCTTTCTGCAGGTGGATAACCAGGTAGAAAACACTGGGGAAACTCTGGGAGACATAGGGGTAGGCAAAGACTTAAGCAAGACTCCCAAAGCACAGGCAATAATCCCCAAAATAGACAGGTGGGATTACATCAGATTAAGAAGTTTCTGTACAGCAAAGGACACCATAATTAGTGTGAATTGACAATGCTCGGAATGAGAGAGAATTTTTGTTAACTGTGCCTCAGATAAGGGACTGGTAACCAGAATACCAGAACTCAAATGGCTTACCCGGAAGAAAATGATTAACCCAATTAAAAGAGGGGAAAATTAGCCAAATAAGCAACTCTCTAAGGAATACATATGAACATCCAAGAAGCATATGAAAAAATGCTCAACATCCCTCATCCTAAGGGAAATGTAGATCAAAACCACAATGAGATACCACCTAACCCTAGTCAGAATGGTGAAGATTGAAAACAAAAACAAAAAATGATAAATTCTGGAGGGGATGTGGTGAAAAGGAAACACTCCTACATTGTTAGTGGGAACGTAAATTGGCCCAGCCGCTGTGGAGAACAATATAGAGGTTCCTCAAAGACCTTCAAATAGAACTACCATATGATCCAGCAATTCCAGTCCTGGGTATCTACCCAAAGGACAGGAGAACGCTCAGTCAGAAAAGCACTTGCACAACTATATTTATTGTAGAATTATTCACGATTGCTAAGACATAGAACCAACCCAAATGTCCACAAACAGATGAACAGATTTAAAAGTGTGACATATATACTCCATGGACTATTATTCAGCCATCAAAAACAACAAAGCCCTGGAATTTGATAGAAAGTAGACAAATATGGAAGATTTGTTGCTGAGTGAAGCAAGTCAGGTTATGAAAGACATTGTATATCTCCACTTAACATTACTAACTATTTGCACTGTATGGTAGAGACTGGAAGACTGGAAGACATAAAAACATTAAAAATAGTTATGGAAACTAGAGACAAAGTGGAAGGAGAGTGTGAGAGGGGAAGGGTGCAGGAAAGGAAATTTTGGGGGAAAATAGAGACGTAAGATATTTGTGGGACATAGATATGGTTTATTATCTGTTGATGAGGATGTGTATAGTATTCTCAACTGGACTGAGGTGTATATCTTTCTGGGTAAAGTCTCTTTACAATCTAAATGATGTATAGTGATTGAATGTATAAATAATAATAATAATAATAATAATAAAGAAAAAAAGCTTTGGGATACATAAATGAAAAACTGTACAAATCAATTTTTTAAAAGTCAATTAAATAAGAAAAATAGTTTAGAAGAGTGAAGCATTAGGTGAGAGAAGAAGGAAGATAATCATGCACAGAAATCTGGGCCAAAGAGAATCTACTCCGAGTAATTCTATAGTCGAAGGCAGGAACCGCGGTCGACTACGTGGGAGTCCAGTGACATAGTCATTACGCTAACTGCTGGTTCCCAACTCCGAGTAACTCTATAGACGAAGGCAGACAGGCCTAAGGTACCTGTGATTTAAAGGGAGCAACCACACCAGTTACTTAGGAAAGAGACCTCTTCTCCAAGATTTCATGAAAACATCTAAGTCTTTAAATAACAACAATAACAAAAAGAGGCAAAACTGTTTTGCTAAAACAGTGGAGATGTTCTGTACATGGTCATTTCTCACAGAAGTCCTCGATAAGGGCTGAGACATGATGCCCAGCCATAATTCTCTAAGTCATTTCTGCAGGGCTGGATGGCTTGAGTCCTGGAGGCAGAAAACCGTAGCCTCTTCTTGGAGATACAAAGGAAGAGGTTTGCAGAAAGGAGGTTTGGGGGAGGGGAGGCAGATGGAGCAAGGCCCAGCTCTGACCCAGAGAACAGGAGACCACAGGGACGGGCCTCCTGCACCCTCTCCTGCTCTGTCCGTGTCCCACTCCTCGTACCACAGGCTGTGAAGGCTAAGCCAGAGAGGCCCCATGGCCAGAACAGTGGGCACACTCCAGTGTGACTAGAGCCCTAGATTCGAAACCAGACTGTTTTTCAGGTTCAGCAAAGCCAGAATAGGAGAGTCTCCAGGTATCTCTAAACATGAGCCGCACTTCTTTAGATTTTCTATGAAACTACACAAATTATAACATGTGCTACTATCCCTTTATACTGCATTTGAGGAGCAATCAGCAAAATATTGAAAATGAGGCAAACTCCACTCATATGCCTCAGGGATATAGGCGTATATTAATATTTAATTGCCTCTGATATCAATTTACCATGCTTTCTGGGGAAATGCAATATTTTCAGAGTATCAGTATATCCTTACATGAGAAGGATCAACCCAAATTGCTTAGCATTCTTCCTACCTTTGTTATTTACTTTTAAAGAAAAGATTTTAAAAGAAAATCCAAATCTCTTGGCTGGCTCCAGAAATCCCCCTAACATATGGGGTCTTACAGCTACAAGAGAATCATTGTGAGTTGTATGTACCCTTCGACTACTTTGCCTCAGGAACATCACAGTCTTGACAGACAGAGATTAAGGCAATGGTAAGTGTTCCCATGCCCTCTACTACCCGTGTAAACAGCCACTGCCCTTAAGAACCCTGATCCTTGATTCCATCAAAAGGAAGGGCTGCCGGGAGGAATTGGCTCAGGAAAGGACCGGAAATCCTCTTGGAGCCAGCCAGTGCCCGAGATGGTGATCACTGAAAGTTGCACAGTGGTGGATGGAGAGAAAGTAGTCACTCCCATTTCCCCTTTCTGCCCCAATCCCATGTCCTATATGCAATCTGGAGCCAGCAATTCCAGGGTGGGCTCATCTCTGAAGTTCTGCTCTCGGTAGAAAAAGGTCTTCAGGTGGCAGCAGTGCGGTGGGGGTTAGTACTGGGGGAGCAGAGGTACCTTCAGGAGCAGCTGGTACTTGGTGATCCTCTGGACAGGCTTAATCAGGTAGGAAGAGATGGAGTTGGCCAGGCCATGTCTCTGCTGGATCTCCTACAGGGAGAACACGGTATGGTCAGGCACGGAGGGGCATGCGTGTGTTCTGAGAGGAAGTAGGCAGGGGTAAGTACAGAGGAGAAAAGAAGAAAAACAGACAGGACATGTTCTTCGACAGGGAGACAGGAGTAGGAAGAGAACCAGAGAGACCAAGACGCACATGCAGAAAGCAAACGGGAAAGATGGCACGAAGGGGAAAGAAGCAGATTTGTCAAGCAAAACAGAAATCAAGCAGAAATGGAGAAATATAAAAGTAGAAAAAGAATGATGAAGTAAATAACAGAAGGACAAAGGAGGGGTAAAGAGGTCAAAGGGAAGCAAGTAAGTCCAAAGCAGGGGAAATAAGGGTGGTCCGTGGAAGGTGAGAGTAAAGGGAAGGCAAAAAGCAAGGCCCTGATTTCCATTCTGGTGACTCCTGAAGACTCCATATCCACCCTCAGTTTCCTTTAGATGTCCCAAAGGAGCCAGCCACTGGCATGGTGGTCAAGGCACCTGGATCCCACATGGCTGACTGCATGGTTCGAATCCCAGGCCACGACTTGAAAAACACTCTGGGTGCCTGTGCGTGAGTATCCAAAATACCAAAAGGAGAAATGGAGGAGAAACATTGTGGCTTGACCATCCTCCACAAGGGGTGTTTTCTCACTTTCCCTTTCTTTCCAGGGAGCACACACACCCGCTGGCAAATTAAAAAGGAACACAGACATCTCACTTTTAATACCTGGCCATCTCCACACAGGGTGGTTACTATTTTTGTATACATTTATTATTGTGATCAGTGGTACCACTCTTACTCTTCAGGCCTCCTGATGTGGTCAAGTCAATCATTTTCCTGTTGTCCCTGGTAACACACCTTTTCTCTCCATTTCCACAGACCCTACTCTCATCACTCATACCTGGGCGAAATTCATGACCTGGGACTCCTGTTTGTGCCTTTAGTCCTTTCAATCTGCTCTCTATCCTAGTTCTAGAATGATCTTCTACTCCCCAAAGTCAAGGTATTATGAAGGTCAGAAAAAGGTACATTGTTGTCTCTGCCCTCAACAAGCTTACAGTCTAGCTGAGAATTTTCAACACGTATAAACCAGAAAACACCAAAGGCTATGTTAGAGGGCATGTTACAGCTAGTGAGGACTGAGAGAGGTTACTGACATCAGGTGTGGTCAGGGAGTCAGCAGAGAGAAAGCTTCCCCTGAACAGGATAGGTCAGGGTTGGTTAAGAAGAAAGGTGGAAGAAGGACACTTTTTAAAGGGGAACATCAGACAAATACAGAGGCCGAAACAATCACTGTCTGTTTACATAATGAGGACCAGGCCCAAATGGTATAGAGAATAGACACCTTGATTCTAGAAGTGGGAAACACACACACACAGAGTTGTATTTGATGGTAAGTTGTTCAATAGTAAAGAAGTACAGATCATAAAGGGAAAAACACACATGGCAAAAACAGTGTTTCAGAGATAGACATGGCGAGCGGAGGTTGGGGAAACAGAGACAAAGAGATACACTAGGAAGGTATTGCAAAAGCGTGGGTGAAAACAAAGTTACCATATAATCCAGAGATTCTCCATCGAGGTATATCCCCAAAAAGAAATAAAAATATATATCTGAATGGATGGTTTTCCACTCAGATAGGTATAAATCTGAGTGGAAAAACAAAATGTGGCATAACCACACAACAGTATTTGGCCAAAAGAAAAAAAAATGGCAGGAAGTACTGATGCATGAGACAACATAAACTCCAAAACCATGATACATGAAAGAAGTCAGACACCAAAGACCACATATCATAAGATGCCATTTTTATGAAGTTTCCACACGAGGCTAATCCATAGGAACAGAAAGCAGATCAGTGGTGGCTGAGGGCTGAAGGTCTGCGGTAGGAGACGGGATGAGAGCTAGAGCATAGGCTTATATTTTCCAGTGATAAAAATGCTCTCGAATCAGCTGTAGGAATGGCTGCACATACAGTGAGCATACTAAAATCATTGGCCTGCGCATTTTAAATGGGTGAACTATACGGTATCTGAATTACATCTCATTAAAGCTGTTATTTAAAAATTAAATCCAGGTGTACGATGGAGGGGCTTGCCCTGAGATAGAATTAGTGAAAAGAACGTATTGAAAGGAATACAAGAAATGTTTTAGTCTAGATAGGACTTGCCATGGGGATATAGAACACAGTGAAAAAGAAATAATAATTCAAAAGATTAGGCTAGTTATGATGGTGCAGGAGCAACACAGTGTTCTGTGATGCTGAAGCATGTGGGAAGGTCCTGGGTTCATGTCTCGAGGTCTCCCTGTACATGCTAGGAGCAGGGATGCATGTCTATGATCCTGGCTTGTTGAAGCCGGGGATGAATCACCGCAGGAAGATGCTGTTGGGATGTCTCTCTCTCTCTTTCAGAAGAAGTAAACTTTTACAAAATTCCATTTTCTGCTAACTGTCCCCCAAAATGGTAATTTTCTCAGGCATTTGCCTCTTCCCTAGAGGTGTGTGGTTCCGTAACACTTGTTCAGGCAAATAATTTATTTGGCAGCTTTGGCAAGCGAGCACAGGCAATAATGTACCTGTGTCATTCTTCTCTCTGGAATGACACGCAGCTTTGGAAAAGTTGTATGTGGAACAGCTAGATCAGCAAAACAAACCTTATGAATCAGTAGAGTAACAGACATCCCACTATTATTCTCACACTTAGGGCAAACAAATTCTGGATCATATGAATGCGTGGGCCTTTCTGAGACTTTAATTTTCTGTGTTCTCCTTAGAGTAATGGGTATTAAGAGCCTGCCTTTATTAGGGGCTTATCTCTTCTGTAGAATGCTCTAAAGCAGATGGTTCCTAAGTGTAGAGCTTAGGGAAACCCTTCTGATGGGATGGAAGTAGGTTATAAAGATTATGCTTTCTGGAAAGCTTTGGGAACAATCTGGAGAGTTTACTGCTCTCCTTACCACCGGGACAGACTCAATGAACTCCCACGGGACTGGCTTTCTGGTTTCCATTGGCCTTCCAGCTCATGAGAGGCTAATTAGGCACTGAACTGGAAATGGGCAGTAGGATGAGAAATTTGGGGTATATCTAATTTGTCAGTCAACATCTAGAAGCTGGCTAGTAACAGGGACATGAAACATGTAGGACTGAAGGAAAATACTGTATCACATCAGGCACTGCAATGTGTACAAATATAAATCAGGCATATTATAAGGGCCGGATGGCTCCAGGTGGAGGGAGGTGTGTATAATAGAAAGGCAAATTGTTACAAACGCTGTGACTGAGATACAAAGTACAATGCATGCATAGAGAAAGGGAAAGATTCAGCCATGAAACCACATTTGACCTCTAAAGGATAGGAAGGATTTTGAAGAGTGACTGTGCGTGTGTGTGTGTGTGTGTGTGTGTGTGTGTGTGTGTGTGTGTGTGTGTGTGTGTGTGTGTGTGTGTGTGTGTGTGTGTGTGTGTGTGTGTGTGTTAGGTAGAAGGGACAGCCCATCTAGGCAGAGAGAAAGTGCAAACAGAGATAAGGACACAGAGTCTGAGGCATGCTTGAAACATAGGACATGTGAGAACATGTTAGGTGAAGACAAGGCACAGTGCATCTAAAACATCAGAAAGGTCCTTCTGGATTCAGTTAATGAACAGTCAGCCAGAAACATCTTAAAGAAAAAAGAATTAGTAGCCATAGATAATAGTAGCATAGAGCATCTCATATGATATCTAATACATTCTGATAGAAGGTTAGAGAAGCTCTTATTTTGGTTCTTCTGTTTTACCAACTCTAACTCCTAAAATTACAGACAAGAAAACCGAGGGCCATTTACATATTAATGCACCATTAGAAGTTAAAAAATCATGTGGGCCAGCTGTTGGTGTAGTGGTGGTGAAGGCAGCTGAATCCCACACAGCCAATTGAGCAGTTTGAGTCTGAAACCTGGCAACTTGAAAAATACACTGGGCATGTATACATGCATGCCCGAAATGCTAAAAGGAGACTGGAGGAGAAGGGATTGCAGCACAAACCTTCCCCTACTCCTAGAGGGGATGATTTCTGACTTTCTCGCTCTCTCTTTGCCTCTCTCTGGTGAGCGCACATGCCCTATAGCAAAACTAAGCAAACGAAAAAAGATTCCCTTCCTGGAAGATAAATGTTTCTTCTCATTTAGGAGTTTCATAAATAAAAACAGCTTTAAAAACATACTCTTTTTTTCCCTCATTGAAGTGTTATTCCTTTACTGTAGAATCATTTATTACCTATTATGGCAGTGCTGGGCTAGAAAGATACAGAGGAGGCTTATTTTGTAAACTTGAGCACATGTTTAAATGCCTTTATGTTCTTCAAGAGATCTCACACACTATTTTGCATACAGTAAATACTCAAATATTTGTGAAAGGAATGAAAACAGGAAGGCTGAAAGACTGATAGCCTTCAAAAAGTTCTGAATTTCAAACTTCTGTCTTCTGATAGGACTCCCAGAATGGCTGTCACTGCTACAGTCTGTCTCTAACCGAATTTTTCTTTTTCCCTAATTTTTGTCTTTCTCTCTTGTTTGTTCTTGGAATCCTGCAGTGATCTACTGAATTCTGTTCACTTTAATTTTTTTAAATTTATTATTATCATTATTTATTCAATGTATTTATTATTCTTCAATTTGACCAGAGAGAGACAGAGAGGGAGAGAGGAAGTGTGAGAAAGCAAGCCACCAGGTCTAGGACTTGAACCGTGGTTGGCCATGTGGGAGTCCAGCACCCCAACCACCATGCCACCTGCTGTCCCCTTCACTTTAATTTTTTAAAAAGAGGTTTTTGCCTTAGGGTATGTGCGCTCATGAGAGAGAGAGAGCGTGGGAAATCACCCCTTGGAAGGATGGCCATGCTGTAATACCTTCTCCTCCATTCTCTTCCTGGGATCTTGCGCTCACACACACATGTGCCCGGTGTGATTTTCAAGCCAACCAGGTCCAGGACTCGAACTGTGGTCGGTCATGTGGGAGTCCAGCGATGTAACCATTATGCCATCTGCTGGCCTCTTGTTCACTTTTATAGTTTCTTTGGGGACAAGCACTAAGAAAATTTGTCTCACCCTCCACCAGCAGGATTGTGTCCTCATTTAAAAGCAAAGGATGTGACAGGCATAGCAACCTTCACGCTTCTCAGCTTCTACTGTAGCAAAAGTGCTCACTCCAGGCTGCATGTTTCTCTCACCAGAAGCTTTTAAAAATCCCAGTGCCCAGGCTCCATTCAAACCAATCACATCAGAATTTCAGGTGTGGGACTTGGGAGCCAGGAGATTTCAGAGCTCCTCAGGTGATTCTAACATGTAGCCAAGACTGAAATGATTGCATTAGAGAGTGGTTCTCAAACTTGAGTGAATATCGGAGTCACCCAGAGGCTCCTTAAGCCTCAGATTGTTGGACGCCACCTTAGCAGTTATAATTCAATAGATCTGGATGAAGTCTAAGAATGTGCATTTCTGACATGTTCTCAGGTGATTCCAATGCCCAAGGACCACACTTTGAGAACCACTACTTTTTGTTGTTGTTCTGTTTTGTTTGTTCTTTGAGAGGCTTTTTGCTATAGGGCATGTGCGCTCTCCAGAAAGACAGAGAGAGACAGAGACAGAAAGCCAGAAATCACTCCCCAGGGAGGATGGCTACGCTGCAATCCCTTCTCCTCCATTCTCCTCTCGGGATCTTGGGCACACACAGACACGTGCCCAGTGTGAGTTTAAGCCACTGGGTCCAGGACCCGAACCATGGTCAACCACATGAGAGTTCAGCAATGTAGCCATTATACCAATTGCTGGTCCTGAGAACCACTACGTTTAAGGGAGCTGTCAATGAAGTAGAAGTGTGACATCTTAGCCAGTAGCTGCATCATACCAGCTTCCTCTGAACATGAGATTCATGACTAGCTATGTTTGGTGTTGAGGCATGAAGACAAATTTGTCTTGTCTAAATAGGAATGGGGTAAAACAAAGGCAGACACTATTGTTTTTCTCCATGCCTTCTCCAACAGATAAAGGTTTGCAGTGGCCAGCAAAGAAGAATGAGCAGCAGTGGATAGCTAAACACCCGTTATCCTGAAGTAGAGAAGCATTTCACCCTGCTCATCAATTACTAAAGAATGAAAAACCACAGCTTACATCGAAGAAGGTGCCTGCATGTTCCAGGATCAGCTGGTTAGAATCAGGCTTGTTTTTACAGTAGGTGACATACATCTGAAATTTGTCTGCCTAAAAAGAACAGAGACAATAACAGATAAGCATCCAGTAGTTGATCCCTTCTGTCCACTGTGCCCGAAAGACTAGCAAGAGCTGTATAGTTAAGCCCTCTGAGATCAGTGTCTGCATGCTCTGAGGCCAATTTCTGTGCTCATCCAGTCCATGGGGTCCCAACAGATCTTCAGGGGATATTTTTCTCCTGTTGGCAGCTGGAGAAAGCGTGCTAAAAGGAACTCATTTTAATTCTAGTCTGTGCTAGAAAGAAATTTTAGAAACATACATACATATATATATTCTGAAGTCAGACAGAATTCATTTAGAGATGATCTCTTTTGGATTTTTGATCACCTACAATTGTGCCTCCCCATCTTGGAAAAGGACAGCATTTTCTCTAATTATAATAAGAATGAAAATGAAGTACATACGATCTCAGAGTTAGATCCACTGTACTCCAATGAGTGGGGGGGAGTTTGGACAGCATGCCTAGCAACTGGATCATCATCCCTAACTTTCCAGA